GGGGTGTGCCGTGCCGAAATAAAAGGGGTCGGGGCGGAGGGGTGTGCCGTGCCGAAATGAAGGGTCGGGGCAGAGAGGGGCGCGCTGGCTGGTGGGCGGGTGGAGGCTGAGGGGGTGTGCCGTGCCGAAATGAAGGGGTCGGGGCGGAGGGGTGTGCCGTGCCGAAATAAAGGGGTCGGGGCGGAGGGACGCACTGGCTGGTGGGTGGGGGGGTGCGTGGGGGGGGGCGTAAGGGGTGTGCCGTGCCGAAATAAAGGGGTCGGGGCGGAGGGGTGTGCCGTGCCGAAATAAAAGGGGTCGGGGCGGAGGGGCGCGCTGGCTGGTGGGTGGGGGGAGGCGGAGGGGGTGTGCCGTGCCGAAATAAAGGGGTCGGGGCGGAGGGGTGTGCCGTGCCGAACGAAATAAAAGAGTCGGGACGGAGGGGCGCACTGGCTGGTGGGTGCTGGTGGGGGTCGGGGCGGAGGGGTTTGCCGTGCGGAAATAAAGGGGTCGGGGCGGAGGGGCGCACTGGCTGGTCGGTGCTGGTGGGTGGGTGGATGCGGGGGGGGGGATGGAGGGTCGCGCTGGCTGGTGGAATGTGTAGGTGATGAGAGGTGTGCCGTGCCGAAATAAAGTAGTCGGAGCTCTAGACACCCTGTGCAAGAGGATAATGAATCTTCAGAAGTGAGAATTCAACAACGGAAAGGCGTACACTCCAGCCCCGGGCAGGGCCGGAGCCTCTGGTGTCACTCCCCCGGTGGACGGGCGCACACTCCAGCCCCGTCCTGAGACGGTGTGTGACGACAACTTCTCCATCCCCAGCGGCGGTGTCGCGCCGCGGTGGGCAAACGTACACTCCGGCCCCGTGTGCACCGTCATCTGTGCTGTTCCCTCCACAGAAAACGCCCCCCTTGCGCTACCCCCTTCTCTGGCCCCGTGTGCAGCCAAGACACCCTCAGGGACCCTCGCAACTCCTGACGAAAGCTAAAGACTCCCTCAAGGACCCTCACGACGACGACGACGACGACGACGACGACGACGGCGGCGGCGGCGGCGGCGGCGGCGGATCCCCAGGACATCCTAGTGGATCCTCAGAAGCCCCTGAGGGACCCTCGGGAGCCCCTTCGGGAAAGCTCAAGGGAACCCCTTTTCGGGAAGCCTCCAGAAACGCTAAGAACCCCTCAGGAATTTCAAAGGAATCCTCAGGAGACCCGCAAGGAGCCCTCCGGAACCCCAAAAGGAATCCCCAAGAATCCTGAGGTAGGGAATCCCCAGGACCCCCTCGGGAATCCTCAGGAATCCGTCGAGAATCCTCAGGAACTCAAAAGGCATCCTCAGGAACCCGAAAGGAGTCCTCAGGACCGCCCAAGGGATCCCCAGGACCCCCATAGGAAATCCGCAGGAATCACTAGGGAACCCTCAAGGATGCCGATGGAATCTTCAAAGGAACCCCACCGGGAATCCTCCAGAACCCATTAGGGACTCCGTAGGACCCCCCAGGGCATCCTCAGGAATCCCGAGGGAATCCTAACGAATCCCGAGAAAAAACATCAGGAACCCTTAGAGGTAATCCCCAGGAGCCTTTAGAGAAACCCCAAGGAACCCCGAGGGAATCCTGAGGAATCCTGAGAGCATCCCCGCGAGCCCCGAGGGCATCCTCGGGACCCCCTGGGGGGAAGGAGGGGGGGTTGTGGGTTCTGAGGAATCACTGGGAATCCTGAAGAATGCTAAGGGATTATGAAGAATCCTGAGGGGCACCCCGAGGGGATCCTGAGGACCCATGGGGAATCCCAATGAGTTCGTAGGCGTCCTGAGGAGACATGGTGGATACTGAGGAATCTTGAAGAGTTCTAAAGAATCCTTGGGGATCCTGAAGAATCCTGAGGAGCCCAACGGAACCCTGAGAGCGAACCCCATTGGGAGATCTTGAAGAATCATTTGGGATCCCACGGAGTCCTGGGGGATCCTGAGGAATCCTGGGGACTCCAGAGGGAGCCTGAGGAATCCTGGAACATCCTGATGAATCCTCGGGGGTCCCGCGGAATGGCTCCAGAGGAATCCCGAGAAATCCTGAGGGGGTCCTAAGGAATCCTTGGAGATCTTAGATAATCTGGAGGGGTCCTCAAGAACCCAAAGGAATCCTGAGGGATTCGCGGAAAACCTGGGGAAACCTCTGGAAACGCGCAAGGAATGCCGACCCCTTCTCCGGCCCCGTGGGGCACCTTGCGCTGCCGCCCCAGTGACAACCCCTTCTCTGGCCCCGTGGGGCAAACCCTCGGTTGCTGGAGCTTTGCTTACCCTTCAGGATAAGCACTTAAGCCTTGATAGAAAACGAAGATCTCAGCAACAAGCCGGGGCCGGTGTCAACGCCTCGCCGAACAACAACAACAACAACAACAACAACAACAACAACAACAACAACAACAACAACAACAGCAACAGCAACAGCAACAACAACAACAACAACAGCAACAGCAACAGCAACAGCAACAGCAACAGCAACAACAACAGCAGCATCAACAACAACAACCACACGAGACGCGGCCAGCGCGGGCTCCACGGCTCCGCGTGCCCGCTCTTGTTGCGGACTCGCGCGGAGGCCGGGCCCACCGAGCCTGTCCTCGGCGTTCCGCTCCCCCCGCACCATGCAGTCTTTGCCGGCTCCGCCGCCGCACCGACCTGGCCCGCACACCTGCCGTGATCACCCCATGCGGTGGCGCGTCATACGTCCACCACGTTCTCCACCAGCGCGAGCTCGGCCTCGAGGTCGCTCTCGTCAATCTCGACGTCGAGGGGCCCATCGTGCTGCACCATCATGCCGAGCGCGTCGTGGATCACCCTGACCTGCGCGATCAGTTCGAAGATGTCGGGCTCGTCCAGAAGCTTCGCCGTCTTCGTCCGGCACGGCTTCTGGGCAGACGGCCTGTGCAGTACCACCTGGCGCACGGCGTCTCGCTCGAAGATCGAATCGCCGATGCTTACCACATTCTTCCAGCTCTGGCGCTCGTACTGAGAGTAAAAGCTGGAGATCTCCATCCCGAACGCCACCTCTTTCCACCTCTGCGGGGACGCGTTCTCTTCGCAGGCCCCGAAGCTGCCGTCGCAAGTGGACCGGGCGTAGATGACAGGAATCTTCTCGACGAGAGGCAGGAGGTCCGGCATGAAATTTCTGCACGATGTCTCCACCCACGGCTCCATCGCGTTGGTCACGATGATCACCTTCCCCATCTTCAGAGCGAGCGTCAGGATCCTCTCCGCCTGCCTCTGCATCTCCTTGAGGGGCCTCAGATACCTATCCTCGCACGGCGCCGGCTTGAAGAAGTTCAGCGCCGGCTGGTTGTCGCGGATCCAAGTGGACGGGCAGAGCGTGTCGTCCCAGTCGAAGAGGATGATGGTCTGCTCGGGCCTGAAGTAATCCGTCTGGCTCCCTGTGCTCCGGAGGGAGTCGATCCGGCACATTCCAGGGCTGGCCCTGTCGGAGGGCGCTGGCTGGGCGCCGCGCCTCGGCACCACCTTCTCCTCCCCGCCGTGCTCGCCCTCGAGCGGCTCCGCGCACATCAGTGGAGCGGAGGCGCCGGCGCGGCCCGGAGGGTCAAGAATACAGGACAGGCCCTGGCAGACGGCTTGAGCCAGGATGGCTACGGACACCTTGCTGCCGTCCGTGGAGCGTAGAACGACACATCGCAGTTACGAAAGTTCCTTGGGTGTCTCTCCATGCGCCCGATGACATGTTTGCTCGCATACACGAGCTCCCCATGACATCGGCCCTGAGGAAGGCGAGGGGTCAGAATGAGCTGAACCCCATACCCCCTCAGAAACCTGACAGGGCACAATTCTTGCGTAGTCTGGGCGGGATCCAGATCGACTCAAGCATTCTCAACACTATGAAATCAAGTCCAGGGGAAACTAGATCTCATCGTCAAACAACTGGATACTCCTCAATCCTTGGAGAAGATACAAAGCCCGCCATCTGATTACGCGCGATTGGATGCACCACAGGTTGCTCAGCGAGTTCCGCCGTCGTTTGTGGCATTAGTTGCGCCAATGGTTGCGCAAAAGATGCCACAAAGGTCGCACCACAGGTTGCGCTAGAGAGTGCGCCATAGGTGGCGCAATAGATTGCGCAAGCTTGAGCACAACCGATCCGTGCTGAACAGGAAATTAAAAGATGTCGGACTCGAAATGAAGAAGCGGGCGCTGAGCCTGGACTGTCCACCCGGGCTGCGGATGTGGCAGGCGCTGGTACGATGGCAGCAATCAGAGCTGGAGATGTGATTCGCGCTGAAGTCAGAGTGCCAGTCCGACGTGGGATTTTGGTCGGCGCAGAGGCTGTAGTAACTTAGCAATCCGCTTTGGGCACGCGGCCACCGCTGCGGCCTCATCAGGCTGGACATGGAATGTCTTCCCTCATAGCATCCACATGTACATGTTTCGATGCTGGTCGCGTGAACCTGCGCTCGTGCCGTTCGAAGCACGGGCCATCTGAAAAGATACAGCGAAGCAAATCCGCAACCCCAATCAAGAGGAGTGACGGACGGTGCTGCACTGCGCAACGCAGCCCCGCCCAGGCCGAATCATCGGTGCTGGTACTGGAACTGTGGCTGCGCTCGGGCGGTGCCATATAATTTCGAGCCTCGGCGCTGCAGGAGCTCAACGGAGCTGCACTTCACCGATGTGCCCACGGCCAGGGCGCGAGCAGGCCCCACAGGCAGTGGGCCGGCGTCAGGCTAGCACACCTGCGTCAGGTCAGGGGGGGGGTCGATATCTTGGCCTGCCTTACGCCACCTGCTGGGAATTAGAAAACTTCGAGGCTAGGCTGATGGGTGTACACCACCTGCCATGATGAGTACGTTCTTTCCGGTTCGATCCAACATGCTCCGCGCACTGTCTGTACTAGAATCCACTCTGCGGAAAACCGAATGCGAAACACACACACACACATCTTCAGACAAACAGGACGGGCAAGTACAAATAGATTCGACTCCATGCCAACAGCGAAGAACCTATTTGCACACAGCGTTTTTCGTTTTCCTTCCAGCGCGCAGCCCGCCCGATCCGCTGCCCCTTCAAGGGGACTATATGCCCGGACCAGACCGACAGACAAGCACCAAGCAACGATCACAGTTAGGCCGGCGTTCTATCAACATTGCGATAAACAGGAAATGCAACACACAAAACACGGGTAATATGCGGAGAGAGAGGAGGAGGGGGAGGGAGGGAAGGGGGAGGAGAAGACGAGCAGCGGCTAAGCGTGAGATGGTCCATCTCAAACGCGCTGCAGCCACCTCTGGTCAAAAATCGCGGCAAGCATGCGGTGGCCTGCTGCCCCTGTCTTGCACCACTGCTCGAGGGCATCCGCGCAATGCTGGGTGCTCGGCGCTGGCTTGCCACGGAAATGCTGCGTAGCGCGGAACGTCGCATATGTGGCCAGCGCCGCCAAACTTAATTCTGCGTCGCTGATGTTGCCCAGGCACAGAAAACTGTCAATGCTAATATCCCGCAGGCCGAGATCTGACCTTCATCCTCCGGACAGCAGGGCACGCAGCATAGTGTTCGATGCAACCCCGCGCGTCTGGAGAACATCCTAGGCAACAAGTGCCTTCCTGTTGAAATCTGCGGGCCGTGCACCATCCGTTCCACTGGGTACGAAAGACCGCAGCGACCACTCGAGGCGGCGCAGGCCGCTTCCATTTCGCAAAGATTACAGGCGCCCGGCGAGAAAGAGTCCCCATGGGCACTACGAGGCCCAATCTGGACAGTTTCTGGCGGAATCGCAATTCCTCGTCCACACACCTCGAAGAATGTGCCCGTAGAGCGTCATAGCATTCCCTCTGCGCCCCTGGCCAAACACGCAGTGGCGTAGCTTCCCTGACCGCTCTGTCCACAACGCAGGCGAAACTTGAATTATACCATGCCGCCCATGTCTTGGCGCGTGTCTTGAAATCGGTGTCGAACCGTGCCTCTGCTAAGCAGCCCGCCGCTGCGCATGATCCGTGAGCACAGTGCTCGCTACCCGCAACTTCGCTGCCCAGGCTGCATCTGCCACGCACACAAATTCAACTGGAAAAGACATGAGCTTCTTGAGACCCCACGAATCTTTAGCCGTTATCCACCCGCCTGGGCCCAAGGTCATTCTTGCAAGAGCGACGGCTTCCTCTGCGAGCAGCTCTGATGTAGGTTCACACAACTGCCACAAGTACGAAAAACACCGGAATCGCGAAGATGTTGTACGCGCGTGCATTTAGCTGCAGGCCGAGGCCCAGCCCAGACCACGCGTTCACACGGGCATGGAACGTTGTAATCGCACTGCTCCACTCCTCTTCCGACCTGGCCGGGCCAACCTTGAATCCAAGATATGTGGCGCATGTTGCGAAACGAGCCGTTGCCCTCTGAGGCAACATGTCCCTCACTGCTCGTTCAGACGACTTTTGCGCAATCTCCCACAACGGTAATACAATAGTTTTGGCCATTTTGAGTCGCAACCCTGAAAACTGTTCAAACTGCTTGTACACTGCGAGCGTTCCCGGGGCATCCCTCCAGAAATCGAGAAACACAACGGCGCTGTCGTCCGCATATGCCCGGATAGTGCAGGTAGGACAGTGTTGTTGCAAGCGGCGGACGAATATTTCCGTGACCAGCACAAACGGCAACGGGGACGGCGGACATCCCTGCCGGACACCGCTGGTCACTGCAAATCCGTCGAAAACCTGTTATTTCAATTTGATGCTGCACACATTTTGCCAATAGAGACACGCCACGACGTTTTGGATTGTCTTCGGAATTCCGATGGAGGAGAGTGCGTGTAAGAGAAAATCTTGAGACAAGCTTGGGAAGGCAACCTCAAAATCAAACAAGACCAGAGCCGCCCTGCCCTTCCCCCAAGCTTGCCAAGATACTGTCGTTGTCTATGTCGCAAACATTCCGCAGGATAGAACGCCCTGCTAGACAGCCCCGTTGCATTGATGTCACGAACCCGAGCAAGTGGCTCAAACAATATACGGTATGCGCTCGCTATGAGTTTGTTATCCGTGCTAATCAATGACAGCGGTCGCGTGTGCGACGGCATGTAGAAATCCCACAGCTGCTCATCTCTGCCGGCTGGCTTTTTCGGTAAACAGCACAAGAAACTCGCATTGAAGTCTGGCGGCAAATTGCGTCACAGGTCTTCGTCCTGCAACGACAGCGCAGCAGCGTGCAGGATGGGTGCAGCCATGGACTCGATTGCTTTCCAAGCTTTGTGCGGGATGCCGTCCGGACCCACAGCCGATTCATGTGCAGAGCGAATCGCCTGAGCAACATGAGATACATCTAGTTGCCACCGCGGATGGGCTTCATGCAGCCCTAAGTCTCCAAAATGATACAACTCTTCGACCTTCCAAGCCTGCATGCCAGACAAATCAATTTCACTGCGCGAGAATGTCTTGCCCCGATGCTCTTTGAGCCACCCGGCAATCTCCCGCGGGTCCGAAGAGAAGCGACGACCACAAGGCGAACGCATCAGTGCAATGCCCCCTCCGCCTCCAGGTAGGAGCCTCTGCGCTTTCCTCAGAAGGTGTTCTTTGCGGGCCGTGCGCTCGAATTCCTGTAGATGATTATGGCCTTGCTTCGGGTCTTCAACACTGTCCCACACTTCTTGCGGCGCCAGCTCCACGCAACGGTTGCGCAGAGCGGGGGTCGCAGCAGGAGGCGAGCCAACTAATG